GAGAGAGAGAGAGAAAGAGAGAGAGAGAGAGAGAGAGAGAGAAAGAGGGAGATAGAGAAAGAGAGAGACGGAAGTAAACAAAGCGAATATAGATAGCAAGCAGGGGGACTAAGAAATGCAATAGTATGAAGCAAACAAATAAACATTAATTTGCCTGTCACTGTTGACAAGATAAAGACCTCGAATGTGAAGGCAGCGCATGCATACATTCTACAACAAAGGAAACATAAGAAAGGAAATGATTTATAAGCCAATAAAAAGATTCCGTTCTTTAACGTTGCAGATCTTCGCGATGGTTCTCGTCTCACTCATACTTATTCCTCTCATGAAATACACCTCCGTTCTTCACCTCTGAGGTCGCAGCCGACGGCCCACAGCAGGTCCTCGGACGCCCTGAAGTCGAACACGGGGCACTTTTCGCCATCTTGAGGGATCACCTTGGAGAAGTCCTCCCCCACCCTGAGGCGCATGCTTCTGCCGTCCTGGCGAAGGGACGGCTGTTAAGTGTTTGCTGAGGCTAAAAGTTGCTATGTTTGGCTACCTGTTCAGAGAGGACTTTAATGTGCTAATGCAAAACTAATACGCAAAAAATCGTCGGAAAGAAGGGCGTCTTAGAAAAAAGTGGTAAGTCATAAACTGGTTGTGAAATCATGCATAGTCACGAGGGCGCTCTCAGAGAAGCCTGCTTTTTGCCTTAGACTGATGCTAAATCAATCACAATCATGAGAAAATGAATGCGTGCAAGCTCGTATGCATTACATTCATATATAAACATATGACTTAGAATTGCACTATTCAGTCACGGGACATTCACCTGCATTTCAGTATGAATTTTAATAAAATGTAGCTATTATGATGCAACTACCAATCTGGTAAACCAAATGTCACAATCTGTTTCGAGTCGAACCGACACCCGTGCCACAGCAACACGTAAATAAAGCCACATGAAAACGAGCCCGGTGTGTGCGTGACCTGCACTCGGCCTCCGTCACAATCACCCTAATTAGCTGATGACGGAAATACCTTCGTAATTACACACACCTCTAGACTCTCCAGTTGGACCGACTGCCAGCGATCGCCGGTCACTGGCACGTTGCTGGTGGCTCCGTTGCACTGGATGAACTTCAGCTGACCCTTGACCTGCTCCGACTTGCCTCTGACGAACAGCTCTTGACGTGGCACCCGCCCGTTGTGGGCGTATGCGGCGAGGGCGGAGTCGCGGAAAATGGGACATCCTGTTTGAGAGGGCGTGGCAAGGGTGTGAATCGTCAGAGGGTGAGAGGAGGGTGTCATCAAGGAAGAGGTTTATCACGTAATCTGAGATATGATGATACGATAATGCTATTTCCACTGCGTTTCTGTTTGTGTGTCTGTCTGTCTGTCTCTGCTCATCTGCGTATGTATGTATCGGTCTATGTTTAGTGCCCTACTCTATGTAGGAAAATAGTCAAGAATTACTTTAAAGGCGACGGAAGACAGCGGCCAGCTCTTCGTACCTGCAAATGCCGGGCGAGGCAGCGTACGTGAGAAAGGACAATTTGTCTACGTTCCTGCTGGTAGAAGTAATGGTGGCGAAAGAAGGGTCGGGATTGCTAATATTATGATTGCGCTTAAGCCTCGCCATTGCGCACGACGGATAAAGATTCTAATGCGTAAACATATTTCTCGATCCAGTAAATCATACAGTTCAATCAGCGTAAAACGAGTGGCAAAGAGAATTCCAGCACAGTCAGGCATAACCCGGTGCTCCGTGTACGCGTAAATGGGTCACGTTCATGCTCATTAGGCACGAATCACGGGTCGTTGCGTGAGACTTTCGACTTTGCTGAAGAGGAAAATGAGCTTAGGTTACCCAAGACGCATGACGGAGGAATTATATATATGCATTAGGTGAATGAGGTTAAAAAATTCCTTGGTGGGATTTTGCAAAATGGATATCATCTAATTGGAAAATTATATAACCAATGTAACGGTTACGTGTGCCGTGATAATAACAGTTGGAAGGATAAATACGGTATGTGCTTATCCACGACAAAGCATTTGGATGGGGAGAGAATCGCCAGCGGGAAAGGGCGGGAAAGATACCAAGTGTTTGTCAAATTGCATTACCATTCGGTAAATAGATAAAGAAGTATTGATAACAATTACATTAATGATTTTGATAAGAAAACCTATGGTGATTATACATGATTATAATGGATGTAATGAAACAATGATATAAACAAAATACCGATATAATGATAAACGCAACAATGACATAAATGATAATAATAACAACAGCTATATTTAATACTATTTTCATTATCATTATTGATATTATTATTATCACTGTCATTATTGCTATTATCATTATTATCATTTTCATCCTCATTATTATTATTGATATTATCATTATTATTTTATTATCACTATCTTTATTACTATTACCTCCGTCAAGGAGGTATGTACAGATCTTTATTTTCATTTTTTTACCAGGGCCATTCGATTTGGTTGGTAATCCGGATCATAATCCGAAAACAGGATTTTTTTTTTTTTAATGGGTGCATCAGTTGCCGTGAGCAGTATGGGTAATTATCATTATCATTATTATTATTATTATTATTATTATTATTATCCTTATTATCATTATCATTATTATTATCATTATTATTATTATTATTATTGTCATTATTATTATTATTATTATCATTATCATTATCATATTATTATTATTATTACTATTACTATTATTATTACCTCCGCCAGGGAGGCTATGTTTTTGGTAGCGTTGGTTAGTTTGTTCGTTGATTAGTTGATTAGCAAGATAACAGTGACCCTATTGCCTTGGCGGAGGTATGCGCTCTCTTAGGGCTTCTAGTTATCCTTATCATTATATCTATTATTATCATCGTTATTATTCTGTCATTAATATCATCAGTAATATTATTACTATCATCATCATCATCGTTATTATGTTTATTATTGATATCGTTATCATTATTATTATTTTCCTAATCCTTATCGTTATCATTGTTGGTATTATTATTTGTATGATCATTATCATTATCATCATTATCAATATCATTATTATTGTTATAATAATAATAATAATAATATAATAATAATAATAATTATTATTATTAGTAGTAGTAGTATTACTATTATCATCACTATCATCGTTGTCATTATTACTACTATGACAATCATTACCACTGATATCATTATCATCATCGTTATCATTAGTATTATCATTAGAATGATAATTATCATTAGATTATTGTCTTATTTTATTATCATCATTATTATTATTGTTGTTATTATTATTAGTAGTAGTATCATTAACATTAAAATCATTATCATTACTATTATAATAATTGTTACTAAAATTATCATTATTATTGTTATCATTATCATTTCATTATCTTTATTACTTATTTTATTAATGTAATTATTATTTTTCGTTATCATTGTTATCATCATTATTGCTATTTTTATTCTTAATATTGGTATTACTATCATAATAATATCATCATCATCATCATTAATGACTGTTTCTATTATTAATGAAAATAATACTGATGACAATGAAAATAAAAACAAGAATAACAATAATGATATTTTCATTATCATTTTCATATCTATCATTAACATCATTATATTTTCAGTTCTTGCCACTAATATAATTTCAGTATTACCACCATTGTTATTATCATCCGCATTATAAAAACCATGAAGTAATAATGATAAAAATGATGATTAAAAGCATCGCTATTGTCAGGATTATCGTATAATGTCATTAGCATTATTGTTCATCGCATTATTATCTTATTTTTCAGTTATTGTTGCTGCCATTATTGTGATTATGGTTATTTTTACATTGACATTTTGATATTATCACCATTATTATCAGTGTTGATAATTTAATCGGAATTATCAGCTTAAAATTTTAAATAATATTACCATTATCATCATTACATGTGCCAGGCGGGGAAGCTTATGTAATCAGCACGGATTATATATTCATTTAATCGTCTATTTTTGGTAAATCGGAGTATGAGAAGGATGTCCGGAAGCAGGATGCCAAAAGTTGCAGAGGAATTACGATGGGAATGTGCGTGCTGCTGTGGCCCCGCGCTCTCGGCTTGGCTTTTGGCTCAGATCCTCCTGGGGGCGGGTAGATTTAGGTTTCCCTTCCCCCTCCCCCGCGCCATGATAATGACTCTCGTGTCAAGGATCTCCGACTTTCGAGGATTTGGGGGATAGACTAAGTAGATATGTGAAGGAGAGGGATGGGGGAAGGTGGAGGCTGGCGGCGGAAGTCCGCTCTCTCTGAACGCCCTTCGTTTCTTCTGTCATTGTCATCAATCTCGTTATCGCCATAATTAATATCGCGAACGCCATTCCTTAAATCATTATCTTTATCATCATTAAGTGCTATTTCTTTTAATGCAAAGTTAAGAAATAATTAATTCTTAAATCCACACGCACTTCGTTAATGCCATTTTATTTTGTTTACCTTTGCATTCCCGCGACAGATCTAACGCTGATTGCCGCGGGCGGCTGGACCTCGGCTCCTGCTTGACAGGCCAGTCGACCGAGCGCAAGAGGGCGGAGGGGCGTTCTCGGTCACGGCGGGCGGGGCTCAAAGGCAGGCGGCGGAAGGCAAACATTTCGCAACGGTCAAGGCTTTACTAAATCATGCTCGCCCACGTCGTTTATGAACGACCACGTGCCGGCGGCAAATTAAACGTGGTTTCTGACAGCCGCAAAAATTAAAACGCTTTTTAGCATTGCCGGATATATACATATATAATTTTTAAAATAATGATAACGATAATGAAAGACCAAAGCATGTCCTCGAGAATAAAAGGGAATTGTTTATGTCCAGCTTATTCATTTCTGTCTGATTTCTCGTTGTAAATGAGCAAGTGCATACAGAATACAGAGCATCAGATTTTTAAATTTCGTATGATAACGTCGACCAAGTTCATGCATTCTTTCCTGCGTCGCTCGATTTACGG